TGATTTCTAGTTTCATTCCATTGTGTTCAGAAAAAGATAACTGGAGTGATTTTGATCTAAATTTGTTAACTGATTTGTGACCTAAAATGTAATCTATCCTAGAGAATGTCCCATGTGCATTTGAGAAAGATGTGTATTCTTCTGCTGTTGAGTGGAATGTTCTGGATATGTCTGTTATGGCTATTTGGTCTATAGTGTTCAAGTCTGGTGTTTCTTTATTGATTTTCTATCTGGCTGTTATAACCGTTATTGAATGTGAGGTATTGAATTCTCTCACTCTTATTGTATTGCTGTCATATCTCCCTTCAGATCTGTCATTATTTGCTTTATATACTTAAGTGCTCTGTTGTTGCATGCATATATATTTACAATTGTTATATATTCCTGTTGAAGTGACCCTGTTATCATCATGTAATGACCTTCTTTGTCTTTAGAGACAATTTTCTGACTTAAAATCTACTTTACCTGAGAGAAGAGTAGCCAATATTTCTTTCTTCTGATTACCATTTACATGGAATAGCTTTTTCCAATCCCTTCACTTTCAGCCTATATGTGTCTTTAATTGTAAAGTGAGTTTCTTGGGTGACTTCAGCAAAATGGCCGAATAAAACATCTTTTGTTCACATCCCCCCTCAACAACAACAATTTGGCATCCATCCCCAAGGACAAAAGTGCCTTTGTGGGAGCTGTGAGATCTAGTGCCATACACCAATGCCCAGCTCTGCATTAAGTAGTGGGCATACAGACTTTGGTCCTGGTTGCACACCATGAGGTGGCCTGTGAACCAACTCCAGTCCCTTTCAGACATGATCTTGGAGACCCTGGAGAACGCTATCTTGGACAATCACCCACAGATGAAAGATCCTTTTAGGAAGTCTAGGTTTCCAGTGGAGAAGTTCTAGCACACGGTTGGAGCAAAAAAATATGAGTTTGGATGTATTGGAGAAGGTAAGGGGAAGCGTTTAACTTTATCCACATCATCCCTCCCACAAAGGCAGCATAGCTGTGCCAAGAGAGACCTTCTTGGCCCATGATTTCTCCTGGGGGGGAGCAAGGAGTGAGAGTGTGTGAATGAGTGGTCGGCTTCCCCAGCTGTGTGGGATGCTGCTAAAGAGGCTTGTTTCTCTCTCACTCCTTCCAGAGTACTGAGTCACGAGCTGCAGGAGTGGGGGTTGGGAAGAGGCTGGGAGAGCAGCAGGAAGGACTCTTGGAGGGCATTGAAGGGATTCGGATCCTGCTAACTGCATTGTAAACTCCAGCAAGAAGCCTGTCCATGAACCACTGGGAACCCCTCATCCAATAGCAAAAAATAAATAATCTGATTAAAAAATAGGTAAAGGACCTAAATGGCTATTTTTTCCAAAGAAGACATACAAACAGCCAATAGATATATGAAAGGGTGCTCAATACCACTAATCATCAGGGAAATGCAAATAAAAACCACAATGAGATATCACCTCCTGCCTCTTAAGATGGCTATTATCAAAAATACAAGTGGTAAAGTGTTGTCAGGGATGTGGAGAAAAGGGAACCCTTGTACACTATTGGTGGGAATGTAAATTGGTACAGTCATTGTGGAAAACAGTATGGAATTTCCTTAAAAAATTAAAAATAGAACTACTATCTGTTCCAACAATCCTTCTTCTGGGTAGATATCTAAAGGAAATGAAATCAGTACCTCGAGAGATATCTGCACTCCCATGTTCCTTGCAGCACTGTTCACAATAGCCAAAATATGGAAACAACCCAAATGTCTGTCGATGGATGAATGGATAAAGAGACCATAGTATATATGTACAATAGAATATTATTTAGCCTTGAAAAAGAAGGAAATCCTGCCATTTGTGACAACACGGATGAATCTGGAGGATATTATGCTTAGTGAAATAAGCCAGACACGGAAAGAAAAATGCTGCATGGTCTTATTTATATGTGGAACCTAACAAAGTCAAATTCCTAGAAGCAGAGAGTAGAATGGTGGTTACCAGGGATAGGGAGTTGAGGGAAATGGAGAGATGTTGGTCAAAGATTTCAAACTTCCAGTTATGTAGGATGAAGAAGTTCTAGAGATCTAATGTACAGCATGATGACTACAGTAAATAATACTGTATTGGATACTGTATTGGTAATTTGCTGAGAGTAGATTTCACATGCTCTCACCAGAAAAAAAAGGTAACTAAGTGAGGAGATGGCTATGTTAATTAGCTAGTAATTAGTTAATTTTACTTTGTATATGTATATAAAATCATCATTTCACACCTACATCGTTTGACACCTTAAGTATATATAATTTTTATAAAAAATAAAGAAAAAAGAATGCTTCTTCAAATTTGTGACAAAGGCACCACATATGTCATTTACAAATGTCTCTATTTTTAAATGCCCTAGTGGGTAAGTAGTAATAATATAGAAAACTTGCTGTAACCCTAGACGATAGAAATAATTTTCAGTTTTCAAAACTTATGGAAAAATTATCATCCTTACCAACAATTATGTTAGCATATATTTATTAAGCTAGTAAAATGAATAACAATATTGAAACAGTATTAGTAAGATGTTGGGGAAATAATCACATTTTGACAGCAATTTGGCAGAACATGAGCTTTAAAACTATCCATAAGTATATGTGGATGTATTTATTTTTAAGAATGTAGGCTAGGAGAATAGATCACTTGAAAAAGTAGTGCTTGTCAAAATGCTGTTTCTTAATATTGAAAAATTTGAATTAATTTTTAAACACTACATTTGAGCAATCTTTGACAAAACTATGATGTAAGAGTGTATTGGCACACCTCAAAAGGTAAAATTAAGGCAAACATGTAAACTATTGTTACATGGACATTCATATACAAAATATAAATATGAAAGAGTAACATAATTTAATTTAAAAGATAGAACTAAAAATATTGGTGGATATTAATTTAAACAGTGAGAGATGCATGTCTGCCAACAAATTAGAGGGGAATATGGGATGGTGCAAATCTATTATTTTAAGTTTAGTAGGTAAATTTTTGCCTTAAATTTAAGTACCCAATAAGCATGGTTTCAAAGGTAGGCGAAATCTTCCCTGCATATGAATCCCACTAAGTAGGTGATCCTATATTAAACCCCACAATGTTCTCCCAAAGAATGATGTAAGCATGGGATCCTTCTAGTTACACAGTGCAGGCCGTAGGCAATTCCTTATCAGCAGTTCTTGAGAGTGAATGCACATTATCTGCTGCTGCTTAGCTTTAATTTTAACAAGGCCTACCACCACAATGGCTAACATTTATTGAATACATAATATATACTAGGAGTTACCCCTTTACATGCTTACATGCATATCTCACTTAATTGTCACAAACAGTGCTTTACACGTATTATAGTCAAACTTCCTGACAACACAATGAAGTAGTTTATACTTGCTTTGAAAGGTTAAGTAATTTCCCAGGGTCATACAGCTTACAAGTGGCAAAACCAAAAGTTGAACTTGCTTCAGTCTTACTCTAGAGCCAATGCTGTCTACCACTTTGCTATACCACCTTTTATTGTCAGAAGACAGTGTGCAAGCTTACTGTAAGGTAAATAGGTCAGCTGGCTATCAACACTTGACTTCCACTGGAGAAGATATTATCTACAGTCATCACAACCTATATCACTGCAACATTCAACCAGATATCTAAAGGGAAACAGGCAAGAGTGAAAAGAAGCACCTAGTAATGGCTTTTCATTTTCTTATAGGATCTTTTTGGTTAAGATGTACCTTATTGTACCTATATTTGCCACAACTTTTACTGACTTAGCTTACCAAGTCCTTTTTGGTAACCATCAACAATAATCAATATATTACGAAAATATAGGCCTGAGTTGATCTTGGGAGAAATAAAGAATAGTGTGGTCTAACTGTGGACCATGTAAGTTATGAACTGGTGATGGTGGACATCAATGCAAGATAATTAGTTTGAACTTTATTCTGTAGGTGGATTAAACCTCTGGAGATTTTTGATAGGGTAGTGGTGATGGTGATATAACCATTTTCTATGAAAATTAATATGATCATGGTGAGGAGAATGGCTGAACAGGGAGAGACTGGGGACTGAAGACCATCTAGGAGGGAGTTTCAATCATTCAGGTAGGAGATTATGAAGTGTCTATAAAATCACTCTTTCCTGGCTCCTAACATGATTGCAACCGTGCCAGTGGGATTTAGCACATATTAGCAGTGCCAGGTGCTATGCCAAGTGGAACCACTGGGACTGCAAAGATGAAACTGACTTGGAAAAATTTGTCCCAGAGATAAAAATGAAGTTTTCATGTGAAATTTAAGGTTGCAGGAGGAATGTAGATCTTGGATGCCTGGTCAAATATTGCAGGAGCTCTACATAAGACTCCACCCTCACCAAACCCTTTCCAGTCCTAGTTTCTATTCTTTCAGCTTGGGGGCTTTACAGACATGGGGAGTCCAGTGTCAAAAACACTATGGGTGGGGATCCAAGTCACCAAGGTGACTGTGATGGTGGGGAAAGTTATCTTTCCCTGGAGTTTACTCTTGGCCACATACAACAGCACAACCAGATATCCCCTTATTTTGGTCATGAGCTGCCCCGTGTTGTTTCAAAAGTATTCAAGCACATCCTTTATTATGTGATAAATTTGGATGGCTATGATTTTAGAACATTATTATCATAAGGACTTAATCTAATTATGTTGACTTGATGATGGGGTTGTTCTGATGTAGTCCTGGTGCTCAGGCATGAATTTTTCAAGTTTAGATCACAGGTCCTGGAAGTGAGGTCTCCATGGTTTCTCCCTTTCTCATTCTTCACTACTTAATGTGGTGGATGCAATTAGTTGGAAACCCCCATACTGGTTGTGAAGTCACTACCACTAATGGAAATGAATTTTCCTAACCCGAATTAGCTTTCTCAGGGAAGATTTGATGTCTCTGTTCCGCAAACTATAGATAAAGGGATTTAGCATGGGGGTTACTACTGTGTACATCACTGATGCAACTGTGTCTGTCTCTGCTGAGCGGGTTGAAGGTGGACTGAAATAAACACAAAAGGAAGTTCCAAAGAATAGAGAGACCACAGAGAGATGAGAGCTGCAGGTGGAAAAGGCTTTTCGCTTTCCCTGAACCGAAGGGATCTTCAGGATGGTTGAGAAAATGTATGCATAAGAGATAGTCAGGCAAAGCACACAAACCAGGCCCACAAGACCCCCAATGGTGAAGATCACCAGCTCATTGATGAAGGGGTCTGTGCAGGACAGACTCAGAAAGGGGTTGATGTCACAGAAGAAGTGTGGGATCTCGTGGTTTGCACAGAAGGATAGGTTGTTCATTAGGAGTGTGTGTAGGAGAGAGTGGAGGGCATTCATGATCCAGGATGCATGACACCAGGAGGACACAGAGCTCAGGTCTCATGACCATGATGTAATGGAGTGGGTGGCATATGGCCACATAGCGGTCGTAGGCCATGACAACCAAGAGGCATGCCTCCAGCATCACAAACAGCATGAAAAAATACAGTTGTGATAGACACCCTGCATATGAGATAACCTGATTCTGGGTCCATATGTTTGCCAGCATCTTGGGGACTGGTGGACACAAAGCAGCTGTCAGCGAGGGAAAGGTT